TGGGGCCGTTTTTGAAAGTGACAGCCTGGCCCAAGGGGCAAACGAACCCCTGAAACTACGCTCCGTAACTTTTCAAAATGGCCCCAGCTTTTGCACGTAAAAGTGGCAGAGTTTGAGTTTCATTTTTCTTTTGGCCATGCAATAACCTTCCCCCGCTGAGGAAGTTCCGTAAAAGTTGAGTGGCAAAATAAAGAAGAAAAAAAAAAGAAGTGGGAGAAAATAGCATAAAATCAAAATAGACATCACTTATTGTATTCAGTAACAAAAAGGGCGGGAAGACTCTGAAAATTCTTTTTTTGTTTTGTTTCATTTTAAAAAGTTTTTTGGTTTGGAAAAAAAAAACACCATTATTTGTTGAACAGAAATTTTGCCCAAATCTTTGAGCTCAGCTGTTGCCCCCAAGACCTCAGCAAATCTCCACTTACAGGATGAAATTTGCTGGATAAGGTGCATGCACCACTTAACATAGGAGGCTTAAGTGGAACCTACGTAGCATCTAGGCCATCTGCTGGCTCTCTGGATAGGGTCAATCGAAGGTGCCACAAGGACTCCTCGTTCTTTTTGCGGATACAGACTAACACGGCGACCCCTCTGAAACCCCCAGTGAAGTTATTCTATGGAGGAAAAACAGATATTCACTGGAAGAGGCTTCCCTAACTGATCTGTCTGCTCCAGTCGCAGGGTGGCCATCCCCAAGCGTTGTGCTTTTTTTCTAAATCATGAATCAGGCCCCCACAAGTTGATAAGCTTAAAAATCATCAGATTTGAAAATGAATCCTGTTTGGGTTCGTTCTGATTTCTGGCATTGGAGGCTGAAGCGGCCCTGCTGTCAAGCTGTCCTCCACCGCCCACAAATCACCCTGGTTTTTTTAAAATGAAAGCCGAGTTTCCCGGTTAAGACGATGCCAGGTGGTGGGGCTTCCAGACAGCCACCGAGTACCGGGACAGTTGAGATAAAAACAACCACGGCTGGCAACGCTTGGCCTGGTTTGCAATTAGGACTTCATCCCCCTAGTGATTCTTTGGGGATTTTTCCCCAGGTGCCGACTTCCTGGAGCCCCCCCTTCCGCCTCCTCCAAGCTTGACAGAGTTTGAAGATTTTGCCCCTCCTCCTCCTCCTCCTCCTCCCCCCCCTGGGTACAGAGGAACCTGCGTGGGCGCCAGACAGCTACTTGGAGAAAGGTATCTTGTCCCCTCGCTCCCCTCCCCGCTTCGTTTGGCTGCAGCAGTGGGGTGGGCAAAGCTTTCTGAATGGGAGGGGGGCTACAGCTCACCAGCCGACCCCCTGGTCTCGTTTATTGATTAGATTCCTTGGGCACTGACAGCCTGGTGGCATGTTACATTGCAGCCTGCGACCTAGCTCATCGCTTGTAAAGGGATCAAAGGGCTAATACCCCTCCACCCTCCCTCCCTCTGTGCTTCTGAGCATAAGCTGAAGAGCTGGGGTCAATTAGGGAGCCATCACCTGATGGATAGAGGGGGCAGCACCATCCTGTAGGTAGGGCTGGGACTTAGGTAACCTTCCCAGCTCTGCCACTATGCTGCTGCGTGTGGGCTTGGGGAAACCACACCCCCCACAGCCCCCGCTACTTCAGTTTCCCCATCTGTAAGGGGGATCTGTGCACGAAAAATGCTCTATTGGGGCTAATGATTTGTAGTTCTGGAGCCTGTCTCTGCCACTGCAGAGTGGAGCATCGCTCTCCTTTCACAGCTTCCCCCCGAATCAGCTTTGGGTCAGGAAACCCCGTTGTGGAGAAAGTCCTGATTGAAGCCGACCTGCTCCCACCCTCTCCCCCAGCACCTTTTGGCTGAGATGCAGCTCGGCCAGTCCCTTCTGACTGGGTGCAGGTTTAGAGCCCCAACCCATGTATTTTCACAATGAGCCTGGCTCCATGTCCTTCCTTCCTTCCCATTCTGAGCTCCTCCTTCGCCTTGCAGTGGTGACCCTCTACCCCTACACTCAGCAAAAGGAGAACGAGCTCTCGTTCCCAGAAGGGGCCGTCATTTACATGACCCGGAAGCACTCGGATGGTTGGTGCGAGGGCGTGACCAGCGAGGCAGAGGGGTTCTTCCCAGGCAACTACGTGGAACCTTTCTGCTGCTGACCCTGTGTGGATGCAGGAGATGACGCCACTGAGGACCAGCAGAGGTTTTCCTCCTTCACCCTCCCGCAACCTCGAGGTTAATGGAGCCCAGTCTCTCTGCCAAACCAGTGAGGCCACCTTCATCCCCCTGGCTTTGGCCACAGAATTTATCTCTATCCAGATTGATCCGATTATAGATCCCCCATTCCTCTCCTGGGCTAGGGCACAGACAGGCCCAAATCCCTGGCAGACAGCAACAGGGAAACATAGCTCTCCGAACCGAAGATTTATCAGGAGCGGCTTTGGAGGCCCAGGAAAGTCCCTGCTTTGGCACTACTACTTTCAGGTCAAATCTTAGTCCCCCAGAGCTCAGCGGGAGTTTTGCCATTGCTTACCCCTGGGGACCAGGATTGAAGCCTTTAGCATGGAATCCCTTTGCTTGAGGCTTTGATTATTCTCAGCTCTTTTATTTCCACCCCCTAAACGTGCACCATGATCAGAGGCTCCTAGTCCAGGTTCCCCAGGGAGCCTGCAGCCAGTCCCTCCTGCCCACCAGAACGAATGCGGCTGAGTAGCAGAATGCTGTTGACTAGCTGGGAAGGGAGGCAGAGGTAGGTGTGTGGAGTGCTCTGAGATTCCCAGTGCTCGGGGCTGCTCAAAGGCTCCCCCATTCCTGACTCCTGCAGTAGCTTAGACGGTGCTTAGCAGACTCTAGTGGGTCTGGCAGAGAGCCTTTTCCCCACCGCCTGGGCCAGCGCCGCCCAAGCCCAGAAGTAGCAATGGGCAAGAGAGCGAATCCCAGCTCCGACAGAGTCCTCCGGTGACCTTGAGCAAGTCCAGTTTCTCTCGGTGGAAACCAGGCACAGAGCTTCCCTGCCTCGCAGGGCTGCAGTGGAGATTAACGTAGGTGCACGGAAAGCCATCAGCACAAAGCGTGATGGCAGAGCGGCCGTGCCTCACCCGGCAGAGACATGAGAAACGGAAAATTAACTGGGGAAGGTGGTTGGAAGATAAGAGGATGTTTCGCAAGGAGCTTTGGCACCGAGACTAAGTGGTACAAACCAGAGCCAGTAGATCTAGGCTCAAATGCACGGGAATAGCCCACTTGTTTCCTGCTGTGTCACGATACCGAGCCATGTAGTACCCGGGCAGGTTGCTGCTTGGGGTATCATGAGCCTTGTCTGCCAAATGTCAGCAGAGACGCAGCTTCTGCTTTGCCTCCCATGATTCTTTACTAAAAATGGCAGCTGAGGGCCTTGAGCTTTGGAGTGAGTGAAAGGCAGCCCTGCCTTTAAGCCTTGCCCCGTGGAATTTTTGTGGGCAACCTGTGCGCTCTGAATGCGCCGTGGGGACCCACCTCGCTGATGTCTCGTGGCACATTGGAAGTAGAAAGGGAGGCTCATTGAACCTGGTCCCCTCTAATGCCAGGTGCTGTTGAGAGCATTAGTGAGCAGGTCCTCTGCTCCGTGCCCTTGCTCATGCCTCTCTGCATCCTAGCTCCCTCACTGCTTTGATAAAGTGCCCACTGCTAATAAAGAGTTTTAAAAGCCTGTGTCTCCCCTGGCTGCAGTGGATGGGTGGGAATGTCAGTGGCAGGTTCGCCTCTGCTTAAACGTAGCTGAAATGTCCCAGGAACGTGCCTGGAAACGAGGGAGTTAACGTACCTGCCCTTCCCTTTGTATTTTATTTTGTAAGGCGAGGTTTCCAAAGTGGAGATAGTGGATCACTGGTGGTTTATGGTGCTGGCTCGCCCTCTTGTTGCCAGCCAACAAAAATAATGATCTTTGGGCCCTTTAAAGCCTCCTCAGAGAGCAGCTGGGTGTTGAGGGAGGGGAATTAATCATACACCTCCCAGCTGGGTGTGGGAATGGCAAAAGAGGGAGAAGGAATCTTCCAAACAGCTGGCTGGAGTATTTGCTGCCATAGGCACGCTCTGTAGACCTACTCAGTCTCTTCACCCTTGTCCTGTTCTATTTACCCCCCTGCTTCACGAGTGACAATGAGAAGTGAACATTTGTCCAAGAGCTTGGGGAGGTAAGTGGTGAAGGGAAACATGGGGGAAAGGACAAGCTCTGGAGTCGACTTAGCCTAAGAGCAGTCAACAGGAAAACTCTCCCAGAATCAACAGGTGACCAACAGTTACATCATCAGGGTAATGTGCAATGTTTGCGTTTGTCCTAGTTGTAGCAGCTTGGGGCCCCACTCAGAGACACCCCCGCCCACTTTGAAGTCAAGTGTTTACAGGACTCAGGCCCTTGCTAACACCCGGGTGGGTGTGGGGTAGCTTTTGAACGAACAGCATCTTTGCGAGGCGTCACACTCCACAGGAAAAGTCAGTGGCGGAGGGAAGTGGATTAAACCTCCCAACGGCCATGTTTACATCTAATGGTCCCAGTGCTAAAACACACCTACCCTTCCCTTCATGAGCGAATTTGCCTCTGCACCTGCTAATTAAACCCATTTTACAGGGATCTAATGAATAAGCCAAAGTCCCAGTGAGCCAGGAACAGATCTCGTCAAAGGCCCTGCTCCCTTTTCCTGGACCACAGCACGTCAGTCAACCTACTCCTGGCGAAGCCCGGTAGTTAAGCCACATGACTAATGCTTAGCCTGAACTGGTGTGTATGGGGCCAGTGCCCATGGGAGGATACTAGATACCACTACCTAAGCTAGTACTCTGGTTTCTGGCACCAGGAAACATTGTTTGCTCCCCACTCCTCCCCTACAGAGCAAACCACCACATACACACACACCCAGCCTACCTTCCTTCTGCCTCCTGGGCAGCAACCCATCAAAGATGAGTGGCAGGGACCGGAGACTGCACAAATGGCTTCTCCAGGTACCACTCCCGCTGCTTTCAACAGCCCCAGGGAAAAGCTGAGAAAGTGAAGTCACAAACCTGTAGTCGCCCAGGCGTGTGCATATAGATATATATATTAATATATTTATGATCGTTAGGGGCAGGTGGGGTGTTCATTTAAATGTCCACATCAAAATACAACATGTGCAGCAAATTCCAGACAAACGTTTCGAACCTGCTGTTGCTATTTACTAGATAATGTTCAATTTTTTTTTTTAATTCCATGGCTTTAAGTTCCACATGATTGGAGGGAGGAAGAACAAACAAACAAACTGCAAAGAGGAGGGCAAGCTGGTGCGGCTTTGGTTAGGTCTGTACTGTGCAGAGTACGCTTTGGAGTAGGCTGCAGTTCATCCCGGGAGAAGCCACCCTCATGGGCAGTTAATGCTGCGGCTGCCGAGTGCAATCACGGGGGGGCAGTAATACTGCGGTTGCCCAGGGAGGGAATACTGACAAGGAGAGTGGAGAGAAGCTTTGATCCTTTAGCAGTCTGACCCCCGGGGGTGCTAAGCACCACAGCTCCCCTTGCAGTCAATGGGAGTTTCAGCACCTCCTAGGATCAGGCCAAGGAAGTGGCTCCACCCTAATATAACCACCATGCTGTGAGCTGACTGGTGATTTGTCTACGGTACAAGGAGAGCTCGGCTTATGCTGCTACTTGCTACTCCAAGTGCACCGGAAGCAGCCCATAGCTTGGAGCAATAGCTCTCCTGGGCGCTGTCCACCAGGCCTCTCAAAATTGCCTTTGGGGGGCTGCTTCAAAGCGCAGCTGCAGCAGCGCAGTTCAGACAGGGCAGGCGTTAGGCTGGGTTTTAAACTAGTTCAATAAACAGGCTTTGGGATCCAGTCTGGACACGGGCTAGTGAGCACAGCTGATGAGTCACTCTTCACTCAGCTGAGGAGTTCGAGCTTCTGCTTTGGAAAGCAGCTGTGTGACTAAAAGCATTTGAGGGGGGATGCTCACTTTCATGCTTAAAATAACAACAGAGAAAGGTGTTTGTTTAAGGTACCGTGGAGAAAGGTGTTTGTTTAAGGTACCGTGGAGAAATTTCTGCCCTGGGGGAAAAAAAGATTGCCTCTATTTTGCTTTCATTTCAACAAAGTGTAAGGACTTGACCCTGACCTCAGGACACCCAGGAATGGTAATCCAAATTAATGGTGCAAGTTAAAAGTAGATTAGTTAAACTGCATAAAACCCCAGTGTGGACACTCTGATTCAGAATTAAGGTGGCCTTACTTCACTTCAGTTTAATTCACTTTTGAATTAAGATACACCAAATTAAGGCCACTTCAGTTCAGAATGAGTGTGTCCACACAGGGGTTTAATGCAGTTTAACTAGTCCACTTTACTTTCCTGAGTGTGCTTGTGCAAACAAGCCGTAGAAATTCAGATTCAGTGAAGTGTTTTAAATGCAAACTAGTCATACTTTGGTGGGGGACAGGGCTTTCTAGCTACATGTCACACACTGCCCCCTACATCTCATTATTCCACAGCCCTTTCCCACTGTGATCTGCTCAGAGGGGACAGGGCTGGGGAACTGGAGCCTGTGATGTGCCTAACTCCCATTGGTACCTGTGGAAAATCTCACTCTTGCTTGCTTAGAAATGTGCTTTGGTGACCCACTTGTAATGGAAACCTAAAATCAACAGTGTCCTCCTAACCCCACACCTGAATCTGGTACCGCACCCATGTCTTCTTGCTGCAGCAGCCTTCCTGGAACAAGGGTTTATGGGCAGGGTGGCTCTCTGAATAGAACCTGCCTCCTGGACAGAGGCAAGCCCCGTTAGGAATTCTCAGGTCAATTTCAAGTCACCTGATGGGGTGTGGAGGAAGAGGGGTCATGCAGGGGGTGATGACGTAGGTGGACCCCAGCTGCTGTGATGGGAAGTCACAGATTCGGAGACCTCTGCCTTGGGGCTAACGGGAGCACAGGCACTTCATAGCCTCATGAGAACTAGTTTGTTTTTGTTTCTTTAAAAAAAATAAAAGAATCACTTGAAAAAAGAATTCCAGGTGAAGGTAAAAATAAACATATCTGACTAACCCCCCTCTCCTGAACGGGTGTGCAAACTGCATAGAGAAGACCTTGTCTCAAGATCGGGAGGAGGGGCGGGGGAAGGGGACCCAGAGAATGTGCTTTTTTAAAAGAAAAAAAGGAGGGGGCGGGGGAAGAAATCCAGAAGTTCAGAGAGTCCAACGCTGCAAAGCTAGAGATGGAATCAGATCAGCCCCTGGGTATGGAGCTGCTCCTGAACTTCCCACTTTCCTGCACAGTGCCCCCAAGCTGCCTCAAGGTCAGCAGGAGTCTCTTCCTACCCATCAGTCCTTCTCAGCATTTCTTCTTGAGCAGCTCCTGCAGATAGCAGCAAACTTCTACAGCCGAATCCCAGGGCACTACGGTGGCCTGGAAGGCTCTGGGTTGCTTTTTCTCCATCTCCTGGGTCATCTGGTGCATGGGGTAGCCCTTCCGCGGGAAAGCAATATCTGTCGAAGTCAAAGCCACGGAAGGGCAGAAGTCATTGGCTCCGTCCCCGACGTAGAAAATGCGCTCAAATTCTGCTCCCTCCTGGGCCCGCTCCATCAGGTACTCAGTGAGGATTTTGCGCTTACACATGTTTGCGGGGCACTGGGGGCACTTGTGAGTGTGATAGGGCCCCAAGGTGAGGTAGCCCCTCTTATCAAACCCAGAGGGGTTGCTAAAGATTTTGCGGAAGAGGGAGTAGACGCCGGCGGCTCTCAAAGTGCACTCGATGCCAAACATGTTGGCGTCAGAGAGGAGGATGATCTCAAACTGGTCTTGGTTCTTGGAGAGGAACTGGAAGAGCTCCGGCATCCCAGGAGACAGCGGGATGTTCTCATAGACGGTTTTGTAGTTCAGCATCTTGACCCCTTGGTCTCCCAGGTACTCGAAGACGCGCTGCATGTACTCGTTATAGAAGCCATCCCGGAAGGTCTGGCGGATGTGTTCTGGAAGCACCTGGCCCGGAGCGGCCCTGATGACCGAGTCATCGCTGTTCTCGTTGATGATCGTCTCATCAAAGTCAAAGGCTAGGAGGTATTTTGGAGGCTTGGGGGCAGCCATGCTGACGCCCTGTGAGTTGAACCAATGAGACACAGCAATTACTCAAGACGGGGGAGGGCTCTTTACCCCAGACACCCTGGTGATGTTAATGGAATCAATCTGACCTGGATAGCAGAGCTATCAAAGTAACGCTATTTAGGTAAATCAGGGCTGTCTCTCCCTCTCTCCATATATTTTTCTCTCCTAGCTGGGGACCTAATCTCTTCCTTGTATATCTTAACCCTGACCTGAAGAGGCTTACGCACCCTGTAAAGAGATCATTTTGTCACTCTTAATCCTGGACTTTCCTACCCTCGAGACGGTCACTGTGCCAAGCTGCGCACTGGACTCATGCTCACAAGAAGATCTAGTTAACCTTAGGGCGACACTTTGACTCTGCAAAACTGCAACTGGGGCATCTGTGTTTATCTGGCTCTCAATAAGTCCCAGGCAATGTGCTGGGTTTATATGCAAAAAGTACACGGGGAGGTTGCCCCTTAGAGCTGCCAGATTTGCAGACTCACCCTGGCCTCTGGAAAGCCAAGCTAGACTTTCAGGCATCGTCCTGCCACGGAGAGATTCTGCAGGTCGAATTCTGCTACCCACATGCAACTTCCATCACCTTCAAATTCTGGGTCTGATTCACCACCGAGTCATTCCAATGACACCAGACATGGGCAGTGATGAATCAGGCCCTCGTGTCGTCAGTTACCCAGGTGCAGCCCCCAATGCCTCAAAAAAGGGGGGCCCCAAGCATAAGGGAGACCGGCATCCAGCCCTGCCATTTGAATGTAGCTAACAGAATTTTGCTGTGGCACACGAGACGGGACAGGACAGAACGCAGCTCAATGTCCCAGAACCACCTTGTCTCTGCAGGGCTACGCTTAGGCACAGATTCCGCAAGTGGCAGAACTGCGCTTGCTTGGGACCCCCTGACTTAAAACAGGACTCTGCAGGTGAGACTCTGACCACGCGGAGAGAGACGGGCAGGCTCGGGGCCTTATTTCTGTCACCAGAAGCCGGCAGCTGTGACTCTGAAAACGCACAGGGCGTAGATCAGCTGAGCCACTTTTCACGGCAGGATTGCGCACCTACGACAAGGGCCCCTTTATTAAAACAGCTGCTTCATAAGCCGCAGAGGGAGGAGGAGACAGCCCTGTGCAAAGAGATCAACATGGAGAATTGCACTAACCTTAAAAAGGCATCGCAGCCCAACACCTTCGAAGCACCCGTTCATTTTCAGGGCATCACTCGCCAAACACGGCTTTTCCTGCTGCTACAGTCTAAGGCTCCCTTTGTGCTGGTCACATCACTGCAAACCACAAGGGTAATTTCGTTACCAACCACTTTGTTGGCCCCCTTGCACTTTAGGGTACTGGGTCAAAAGTCACAACAGATTGCTCCAGTTCCAAAAGGAAATAATCTCCCCTCCCTGTCCCGGAGGGAACGTGCTGGCCTTTCAAGCCCTACAATGAACCCAGGAATGCATGACCTCTAGCACCAAGAACTAGAACAGTTACTGTGCAGGGGAAGGGCTGAGTGGGCAGGGAGAGATTGTTTAATGCAGCCAATCCCTCTTAACCCCTTCAGATGCTAAGGGCTTGTCTACATTGCCTGACATAGGTACTCCAGAATAGCTTTCCCAGGTGGGGACACACGTCCAGAATAAAAGTGACTTTATTCTGGAATAATTACTGTGCTCACAAGATAAAGTCATTTTTATTCTGGAAGAGTGAATCCACACGAGCTATTCCAGAATAGCTATTGTAGAACAGTTATTCTGGAAGAGCTATGCTGGTCAGTTTCCCCATGTAGCCAAGCCCCTTAAGCTAAGTGAAAAACTAGGGGAGCATAAAATGCACTAGGAGGTGCACTTACTCTTCCTGGGTTCTGCTGACCCCTTGTGGCCGGTAACTGTAAAAACCCGGCTCTATAAACCGTCAAATATGCTGGTGATTTTCCGCTGTGCTGAGTGCCTACAGCTCCTATTGGAGTCAAAAGTATAAATGGGTGCTCAGTGCTTCTGGGAAATCAGACAGCTGTTTAGCCAAGGGACTATTCTGGGGGAAGTGGGGAATTTGTAGCTCACGTATTCAGATTTAATGGGGAGTGAGACTTCAATCAAATTTTGTCAGCATCCTGATACAACTTTTTTTGGGCCTCAAGATCATTTCTTTTAAGTCTGTTTTGTTCTAAATCCAGTTTCAAAGACTATTTTGGCCAGAAATTATACTAGAAAGAGTTTTTGCCCTGAATCCTTGTGTTGAACTAATTGCTGCTACTAGAATAAACACCACAAGTTATTTGAACCTGTCAAGGTATGGTATTTTTTAAGTTGAAAGGGACATGGACAACTACATTGAAATGTTGTTAAAATGAGCTTTCGTGCAATCTAGAACCCAAAGTGGTCCTTTCACTTTTAAAAAGATATCCATTGAAAACACGGCAAACATTCCTGCACCGTTTGAAACCCAAATATTGCTGCACTAAGAATTTGAAAATGAAACTGACTATAAGCAAAAGGGATGTTAATATGTCTCCATAGAAAAGCGTTACTAGTTAAGCTACACCTGAGGGAAAATGGGTCAATCTACACAGATGTGGGAAGAAAACTTGCGTTTTGAAAAGCCCTGTAGGCACCCAATATTTCTGTGTTTACTCACATGGGTAAGGGCTGACCGATCAGACCCTCAGATTCTTTAAGCTAAGCATGTCGGATTACACATGGACATTTAAAGTAAAGAAAAAAATTAAAGAAGCAGGGTTGTTTTTTTTAAGTCACACTTTGGTGCCTTTCACCGGAGGATCTCAAAGCACCATGCACACAGTTGCCTCCTTTGAGTTAAGTGTTGTTACACAGCAGAAAAATCCTGGCTCGGCAATAAGTGAAAACAATTGAGTCAGTTAATTTCTATTCTTCATCCCATCCGAGATCAATAGTTCTGCGGTCTGCAACAGTGTGACCCAAGATCACACATCATGATTGTCTGCTTGTCCACAGAGGAGTTCTCGGAAAGGTGGTTGCTTCTCAGGAGATAAAATTTTCCTCTTGGACTTCCAACTTTATCTTCCCCTTAAATGTGTTATTTTCAGTGGAACAACTTTTGGAATTTGTGGCCATAAGGAGGAGAATTCTAGCTACTTCTGATGAAGGCTGCACCATCGAAACATATGTAACAATACACATATCAACCTCATGTCCATTGAGGTAAAACAGTGCTCTGGGTCATTCAACCTTGATACTCACTGCAGTGTCACCCCTCCCCCCACCATTTTTACATGGGGCAAGTGAGTCATGGACACATTTAGACTGAAGTTTTCAAAGTGCCTAAAGGAGTCAAGTGTCCAAAATCCATTGAGTTTCGGTGAGATTGGGTGCCTAAAAGAGGCAAGCATCTTTCAAAATCCCAGCCTAAATGACTTGACCAGGGCCATATAGGGAGTTAGTGGCAGACCCAAGAACGAATCTGGAGAAGTCCTGGCTTCCGGTTCTCCTGTGTAACCAATAGCCCACACTCCCTCACCCCACAGCTTCATCAGAGAAGCTAGACTAATAATACATATTCCTAGCAGGATGTGTCAAGGTGCAGGGTTAGGATCACGTGGACAGAACAGACACAATATGGGGCAGGGGAAAGGGATGGCGGCACCTAAAAATGCTGTAGAAAATGGTGAAGGCAGGTTGTACCTGTGCAGTTAACTTGGACATTTGGTGCCATACAGTCCTTTTTGTAAAACAGTAACACATTATATTTCCCCTCCAAGCATTAGCAAGGAGACGTCTATCCGTCTCCTGCCCCTGTCCAGCCCCCTTTCAGAAACCCCCTGTACTGTGATTAACAGAACCCAGCGTGGATCTTTCGGGGGGGGGAAGGCAAAGGAACACAATGAAATCCCTTAAAATTAGAGGCAGTACGGCCTAATGGATAGAGCACTGGACTGAAACCTGGGTTCTATTCTTGGCTTAGCCACTGGCCTACGGGATGACATTGAGCCTCAGTTTCCCCATCTGATGATACTTCTCCTCCTCTGTGAAATCTTCCAACGAAAAGTGCTAATTTTTATTATTAACCCAGACGTTGTGAACATCTTGCCATTCTCATATTGCTAAACGGGCTAGGTCCTGGCTAGCTAGGGAGGGAGGGGAATGGTATGGAACAAGGTGCTCATGTTATGGAACCACTGACTCAGCCAGTTTAGCAATGAATTAAGATCACATCTGGTAAAATCCATGTCACAAGCTGGCTCACTCTGTGCGCAGGAGGGGAGAAAATCAGTGTTTAACAGGACTCTCTCTTCTCTGTCCTGAGTTACCCCATCTAGTAAAGCAATGAGCATGAGTAATGTCCGGTGGGTGAATCAGCAATGCCACATATACAAAGCACGCACATGAGTCTCTGGTTTTGGATTTGCTAAGGGTTAACCACAGACAGAGAGAGAGAGAGAGAGAGAGAGAGAGCGCTGTCCACAACCATCATCTTCCTTCACAACGGCCTCAGGGCTTGAACCAAAGGTTAGTTTTCCTCCTTGCGCTCCACCCCTGCCTTTTTGAAGCCAGATGTTGGTTTGGCTGGAATCAAACAGGCACATGTAGCACCAGCTGCTCACACTTATTGTTCACACACAATGCTGTGGTCAGTGTTAAAACAGAAGGGAAAGGAGGGCCTATGAACTCTCAGTCAAGCACACAGCTTAGTTTTTTAGGCTGGCATTTCATAAGGACCCTGCTATGCACTGGCACTGCAAATTTTATCAAAAGGCTCTCAAGTGGGTATTACCCCTATAAGGAAATTGAGACACAGAGAGATGAAGTGACTTGCCTAAGGACACACACACAAGTCAGTGGCAGAGCTGGGGATAGAAGCCAGGTCTCCAGACTCCCTGATCCTGTACACTAGCCATTATACCACATTGTCCCCCATTTTGCTGGACAACAACATCCCAATAACAACCTTGGGCTCCTCTTGAAGGCAGGCTGGATTGATGTTAAAGAACTTGTGGGTTTTCAAAACTTTTAGCAACTATTGTCAACTTTCCCGCAAGAACTTTCTGCTTCGCGGCTGTGCCAAGTGTGGAGCCTTGGGTAACACTCTCGCCAGAACTATTTATACATTGCAATGACTCACCTAAGGGCTGCTTCCTGGGTGGGTGTTCTTCCACCTTCTGTAAAAAAAGTAGTCCCTCCAAAATAAAATAAAAGTGGCCGTACTTCCTAACATTATTCAAAGCCTGAATGTTGAAACAGAAAATAGAACAGAAGTGTGCTTATTAATTGCATGAAATACTGTTTTTTTGGAAAAGGTTTAAAACAAATTAAATGTGGGGGGAGGCTCATAGTGCAAAGTGGGGCAGCCATGGAAGGAAGGGTCAGTAGGAATCTGTCTCATGGAGAGGAACTGGTCAGTGGGGCAGGAGGCAGATGGCGCTTCTCCCCATGATCCCTCACCTTTTTTCCCCCCTGGAGTGAAGAAAGGAACATACCTCCAAGGCTTCCTACAGGATCCTCCTGTATTGATTTTGAGGGGTGGGGGGGAGAGAAAGGTCCAGCAATACTCCTCACCTTGACTATATCAATTGCAGTGCATTCTGGGGAAACTCGGTACCCTCCTGTCATTCTTGTTAACCGAGGGCCTAATCCTGTAAAGGGGTAGACATGTGAACCATGGGAGTCGTAGGAGCAGTCCCTCACCCACATAAACCTTTACAGGATTGGGCCCTAAACTAATAAAAATCACATGAAGTCGAGCCTGCATAGGACTTCTGCATGTGCCTACGTCTTTGTGGGATAAGCCATTTATTTCAGATTCTAGAATCGCTGAACTTTGGAATGATCTCAGGCCATATAAATTTCCCAAGAAGGAAATAAATAAATAAATATACAGAGCATTAAACGTACGTGCAGTTGTTTTCCGGGACTCGGTCACACTGTCCCTTGTACGATCTCTTCTCAACTAGCTTTGGTCGCGTCATGTCATTAAAAAAAAGATTCTAAGACTAAACAAAACTCTGTTTCTCCTGAATGCTTGAAACGACGAGGGACCTTTCCGGTCCCAAGGGACCACAGGATCCAGGGGCGCTAATAGGAATTTTTTGGCTGCCCCAGGAATTCAGGGATGAGGCCCTTGACGATTAAACTTGCTCTCAACTCTTGCTCTTTCTCTGCTCAGCCTGGGTGTTGCCCAGCTCAAGACGGGGATGAAATGAGAGAGACAAGCCTCAGACTTGGTAAGGCAACTCCCATCTCTTCATGTATTTATACCTGCTCCTGTATCTTCCACTCCATGCATCTGATGAAGTGGGTTCTAGCCCACAAAAGCTTATGCCCAAATAAATGTGTTAGTCTCTAAGGTGCCACAAGGACTCCTCGTACTTTTTGCTGATACAGACTAACACGGCGACTACTCTGAAAGGTGGGGGAGGTAATATCTTGGATTGGACCAACTTCTGTGGCTGAGAGAGACAAGGTTTGGCGCTTACACAGAGCTCTTCTTCAGATCTGGGAAGAAATGTTGTTTGAGTGCCTTCAGAATTTAGGAAGAGGTGGGATGGGGGTGAGGGAAGTTAAAAATTCCCTCCTGCTTTCCCCCATGTGTCTCAGGAGCTCTCTCAAGAAGATGATTCAACACATTTTCTCTCCCTAGTTTTGACAGTATTACCCTTACAAAGTACTGTTCTGTGGTTCTAGGGTCAGATTTAAAAAAGATATTTAGATGCCCAACTCCCACTGAAATCAATCATCTGATTCATTCCAAACTAGTCATCAATCTGGCCTCAAACCTACTTCCTCAGGTATCCCCCACAAAATCAAAATCGACACAGACAGAGAGAAGCAGACGACTATTTATTGTTGCCCCGAATGCAGGCAACTGAAAAACCATAGGTCCTCCTCAGCCCTTTGTCAATGACACTAATATTTCCACAGGCTAGAGGACTCCAAAGGTGATCCTAGAGCCTGTTTGCCTGACTGGATACTGTTGCTTTTCAACTTATGGGACACAAGCACAGAGGCTTAGGAACAAGATTTTCAAAAATAGGAGCCTAGAATTAGGTACCTAACAACGGAATGAGGGTTGGATTTTCAAATGTGCCTATGTGACTTCGGAGCACAAGTCGCACTGAAAGTCAACACACGTGCCTTGTGCTTTTAAGATGCCTCCGTACTTTTGCAAATCCCACCCATAGAAGACGGAGTAACTAGTCTGATTTTGAAAATTGCCAACACCCACCAGCTTAACTTCATCAGGGGCTGTTGGTTGTTCGGCACTTTTGGAAATCGGGGTAACATTTTCAAAAGCATCTAAGTAACCCAATGTCATTGGGTCCTGTGTGCTTTTGAAAATGTTACCCTAGATTGCTTATTTAGGAGCCTACATAAAGAATTAGGAGCCTAAGGTTATTAGTACTGGAGCATAAGCTTCCGTGGATGAATACCCACTTCGTCAGACGCATGTGGCGGAAATTTCCGGAGGCAGGTATAAATATGCAGGTACCTGCCTCTGGAAATTTCCACCACATGCGTCTGATGAAGTGGGTATTCACCCACGAAAGCTTATGCTCCAATACTTCTGTTGGTCTATAAGGTGCCACAGGACTCCTTGTCGCTTTTTACAGATCCAGACTAACACGGCTACCCCTCTGATACTTAAGGTTATTAGGCTTCTGTTTTTGAAAATCTTGGACCAAATGATGATGGTTCATTTTACTTTAGCTTTTTAAGAAACTAAACACCATGACCCAGACTATCTGGGAACTGAATTCCCACCCGCCCAGGTGAACAACGAAAAAAAACCACAGACAAAAACCAAAATTCAACACCCCAGATCTGGATAGTTTATGACACTGCCAGGGAGTTAAACAGATTTGTGGAAAGCTCTGGGTCAACGCAGGTTATTAGGACTACATTTTTAAGATGTCCCACAGAAAATTAACCACTAAAATATTACATTAAGCTCAGTGGCTTTTGCAACAAATATCCAGGTTGTGTGCTTGATTTAGTAATAGATCTAAAAGTGCCTGTTTCTCCTGTTGCAACATTTTGGTGGCATGTGCTAGATGCCTCACAAGGAAATGGAGGCATATGTCAAGTTGGCTCAATTTTGAGTGGCATGTTGCTTGCCCTTCAGAGGCAGCAGTATCTGTAAAGCTACTCTAAAACACGATTTTTCCAATTGGCAATATTTAGCAAGGTTATTGCCTTACTTTTTAATTTTGACATTGTGAGTTTTCTTTTGGTGCTTCATTTTTAGGGGATGGATTTTAATTTACAGCAGATTCAGTTTAGTAGGGAGCTTCTAAATGTAGTGTTCACTGTTGATCTCTCTTTTAAATATTCAGTACAGTTTGAACTATCTATTCCACATGCACACAAAATCAGGCCAGATGGCAGCTGGTTTGTGGGAGTCCCACAGAAATGCCTGACCCAGAAAAACCTGGAGAAGAACAAACAAGAGGGAGGGGGAAGGGAAGCAGGGAGTTAAATAAATAAAACTTTGTATAGCAAAGTCTGTATTTGTATTATACACTCCATAATCCAGTGGGACAACCTGCTAGGGAAAGGGGATCGCCTAGGAGCTATATTTAAGGTGTCTGGAATAGAGTATTTTTGGACACATCTCAGTCCAATGTTGTTCCTGTCCTCTCCCTATCCCGGGCTGAGGGATTAATAGGCGTAGTTTGGCAGTACAGTATTACTCACCAGAGACAGAGGCAAAGAAAGCAAAGGGGACCAGGATCAGGATTCAGAAAGGGTATTTTGGAGTGCATGCCTGTGCAGGGGTGAGGTAGTGGGGTAGAATGGGATTTTGGAGAGGTGGATGAAAAGATAAAAGGTACCAGGAGAGGTGGGCAGTGGTATTAGGGAATGGAGCAGGAATGGTATACTAGGGACAACTGAGAAGTCCAGAGAGGGTGTCAGAACCCTGTACACCTGGATTGGGTGCAATGAATGCAGCATTTGCAGCCCCTCCCCACAGAGTACTAGAGTCCTTCCTGGATTGGGACCAGGTTCATCAGCGTATGACACCTGCTAAACGCTTTCCTCCAATACCAACTACTGGATCATTGTTCCTGGATCCCCACCCTCCATCCTGGTATCGGTCCAACTCACAACCCATTGCTCCTAGACACCCATACCCCTTCTGGTACCAGTGCCAACTCCTGGTCCACTCTTCCAGGATCCCTTCCCCCATCTCCGCCCTCAAAAAAACCCAGAACCAAACAAAAAACTTCTGTTACTAGTGCTACCTCCAGGCCCTCTGCTTCTGGATACCCTTCACCCCTCCAATAACATCAATGGTACCAGTACCACCTCCTGGCCCATTACTCCTGGATGCCCCCTCAGCATCTATGGCACCAGCACCATCTTCGGGCCCATTGTCCCTAGTTACTCTCCTCAACATCTATGGTACCAGTACCACCACTTGGTCCATTTCCCCCCCCCCCATACACACACCCCCCCTTTGCCTTCTGAGCACCCACCGTTCCCATTAACCTCCCTTGGCCCAGTGTCCTTCTAGTACAAATACCACCTCTTTGGCACGTTTTTCATGGTCCCTATGGAACCGGTGACGCGGATACCAGTCCCATCCTCACCCCACTCATTGCCCTTGGCCCTTTCTGACCTCTCCGGCACTGGTACCAGCTGCCAGGATGCAGACTCCCGTGTGATCCTCTGGGGCTCGCTCTCGGAAGGGACGTCGGCAGGATCCCCGTCGCTGGGGCTGGTCCGGTTCGACCCGGTTCTGGGGTGTCACAGGGAGGCTTCAGCTGTTCACTGCAAATGGTCTCTTCTGCCCACCCCGCTTGGGAGCCTTGGTCCGGTTCGGTTCGGGTGGATCCCCGGGAAACCCAGTGCCTGACCCCCCACTAGGATAGGGCGGGTTTGTCACCCGGCTCCGCCCGGTCCGGTCCAGTGGTCCGGTTCGGCCCGGTCTCCCACCACCCCACCCCGGGATCTCCGGGCTCCAGCAGCCCCGCGAGCTCGGTCCCTTTAAAGAGACGGAAACTGAGCCCGGCGCTGCTACAGGGGACAACTGCAGTCCCCGCACGTCACAAACGGGCCAGCCAATGGCAGCTGCGCCGGCGCAGATCAAAGGGGAAGGGGAGACCG